GCCCAGGCTGGAGTGCAGTGGCGCAATCTTGGCTCCCTGCAGCCTCTGCCTCCAGGGTGCAAGGGATTCTCCTGTCTCATCCTCCTGAGTACTGGGACTACAGGCACATGACACCATGCCCGATCCTGTCACCCAGGCTGGAATACAGTGGTGCAATTTCGGCTCACTGTAATCTCTGCCTCCTGGATTCAAGAGATTCTTACGCCTCAGCCTTCCCAGTAGCTAGAATCACAGGCATGTGCCACCATGCCCAGCTAATTTTTATATTTTTCGTAGAAATGGAGTTTCACCGTGTTGACCAGGCTGGTCTTGAACTCCTGACCTCAGGTGATCCACCCACCTTGGCCTCCCAAACTACATAACTAACCTCATTTTATTTTATTTCATGTTATATTTATTTCATTATTATTTTTGGAGACTGAGTCTCTCTGTCGCCCAGGCTGGAGTGCAGTGGTATAAACTTGGGAAGAGAGTAGTGGCTGAACGACCCGTCACAATAGGATGGGCAGATCCCACTGGAGTCCCTTAGAATGAGCAGGAGCAGGAAACCCAGCGGCCAGAGATCTCAGGCAGAGCCTGGTGCAGGAACACAGAGATCAAAAGGAAAATAAACAGAGGACAGAATTCAGACCCGGAGTCAGGCAGAACTCTGCCCAGGGCTGCACCCCACCAGCTGCATGAGCTTGGGCACCTTCCTCAACCTCTCAGAGCCTCTTTGCTCATCCATAAAATGAGGAAAAAATTATTCCTCCCTCGCAGGCAGGGCGGTGAGGATGAAAAGAGAGAAGAGTTTGAGGCGTGTGTGTCTGTGCAGTTTTGTACAGAATACCTCACTTAACCTTCCTCCGAACCTCGGTTTCCCCATCTGCGAACTGGGGGTGGCAACAATTCCTCCTCGGAGGATGGGGGTTTGGTTGGAGGAGCAATGTGAAAACCATCGGAATATTTAAGACACCCAAATCAAGGCCGGGCGCAGTGGCTCACGCCTGTAATCCCAACACTTTGGGAGGCCAAGGTGGGCAGAATCACGAGGTCAGGAGTTTAAGATCAGCCTGGTAAAATATGGTAAAACCCCATCTCTACTAAAAACACAAAAATCAGTCGGGCATGGTGGCGCACGCCTGTGGTCCCAGCTACTCGGGAGGCTGAAGCAGAAGAATCACTTGAGCCCAGGAGGCAGAGGTTGCAGTGAGCCGAGATCATGCCACTGCATTCCAGCCTGGTTGACAGAGTGAGACTCCATCTCAAAAAAATAAAGACATAAAATAAAGACACCCAAATCAGAGCACTGCCATTGGTATTCCCCACCCACCGGGGGGTGTGTCCCACCCGCTCTGGGACTCAGAAAGGAAATGTTCTCAGGGCCCGCAGGCTGAAGAGCATGAGTGGCCTGGGGAAGGAACCCACTACCGGCCAGGGTGGCCAGTGCTCAGGGGCCTGAGCTCTGTCTGGGGAGCCTCTTGGTCTTCCCATCCCTTCTTTCTCTCCAGATGTTTGACCCTCAGGGACTCATGTCTCTGGCCTGAGGTCCCAGATGGTGTCATGTGGAGTGTGGAGAAGCCCTCAGCCTCAGGGGTGCTGCAGACCTGAGCGTGGGGGGCCTTGCCCTGTCCCTTTCTGGCCGTGTGACCCTACTGGGACTCCCTCTCCCCTTCTGGGGCCTCTACTAAGTGAAGAAGGACGCTTGTCTCTGTCTGCATCCTGTTTCCTGCACCCTGGGAGGCCGATAGTCAATGAGAAACCAGCGAGGGCCTGCTGAGATAATGAACAAGGAGAGCCTCGGGAAAACTGCAGTGTGCATGCGAATGGGTCCCCGTGGCAGCCTCATTCACTTAGATTTTTAAACTCCTGAAAGCCCGGGCAGTCATCCTTGCTTAAAATGAAGTAGACCCGTGCACGGGGTGCTCTGGAGAGCGCGATAGTGACAGGCACCCGTCAGGCTCCTGGAATGCTGCAAAATAATCTGAGCATCTTCTGTGACCTGCCCCCGCCGGCACCCTGCACCCCCATCTCTGCACCCCACCTACACTCAGTGACATGCTGGGCGGAAGGAGCAGAGTGGAGATGTCGACCTGCCTGAACTTTCCAGGCGCCACGTGAGCCGGGGGTGCTGTTATGCAGCAGAGAAAGAGCAGGGTGGCTACTTCTGTCCAGAGGGGTTCTCTTGCTCGATGGCTCCACTTCCAAAAAGAAACTGAGGTTCAGAAGCTGAAGCTCAGCAAGTACCATGTACACAGCTATGAGGCAGCAGAACGGCAATTCCAGCCTGAGTCACCACAATGTCCTGGCTTTGTCCCATGACAGCATGGACCTCCAGGTCCTCCCCTTGTCCCCTCCCTCTATCCCCAAACTCTCCCTAATCTCAGTCCCCTCACCTAGATGGTGCTCCTACCTCCAGCCTTCCTCCACTTAGCTCCAGCCCGGACCCATCTGCAGAGGTGCCCTTTCCACACAAAGCTTGCTTTATGTTTCTGAGGTCAGAAGTTCGAGACCAGTCTGGCCAATAGGGTGAAACCCCGTCTCTACAGAAACTACAAAAATTAGCCAGGCCACGGTGCAGCATGCCTGTAATACCAGTTACTCAAGAGGCTGAGGCAGGAGAATTGTTTGAACCGAATGTCAATATCTGGAGACGGGTTTGATGGTCACAGCAGAGGGATGCTGTGGGCATCTAGTGGGTAGAGGCCAGGGGTGCCACTCAACATTTTCCATGCACAGGGAAGCCCCCTACAACTGAGACTTATCCAGGCCCAAATGTCCACAGTGCAGAGGCTGAGAAGCCAGGGCTTACTTACTTACTGCTGCTAGGCTAGCTGGAGACACTTTGTATCCATGATCTCTAAACATTTCAACAACTCAGCAAAGCAGCGTTGTCCTGCGGAAGATAACAACTTAGGCTCAGAGAGGCCAAGAAAGGTGTCCAAAATCACACAGCGCGGAAGAGGGTGAGCCAAGATTCCCTCTAAGGGGACTCTGCTGACTGCTCTCAAGGCCAGTGCAGGAGGGGGGGTCTCCTGACTGTGCCTGCCTTCTGCAGATTGTGGGGTGTCATGTCCGTGTCACAGGAACCCCTTGCTGGTGAAGACCTGGGTGCCCAGGCTTGTTCATCCCATCAGAGCCCCTGGAAAGGTCCTCCCACACTCCTGCTGCCCTGCCTGCTGCAGGCCAAGGAAAAGAGAGGGGAGAGGAGAAGGGAGATGCTCGGGGGACACTCTTTGCTTCAGTGACATGTGTTTGTTTAATGGAGAGCTATGAAATTCCCAGGGACATCCTTGTGATGTAAATATTGACCCGTCAGGAGCTCCAGGAGGACCCTGTCCTGGAGCCAAGGTGAAGCCCTGAAGAACAGGCAGGCTTGGAAGGGGAGCAAAAGGAGAAGGAAGGTGGGGAAGGGGGAGGCCCTGGGGAGGGGAGGAGGGAGGCAGAAGGGAGGGGAGAAACCCCTCTCCCAGCACGGACCTCACACGTGCTGCAGTCTCTCATTCACTCTCTGGGTGTCTCCTTCTCTGCCTTTTGTCTCCATCTCTGTCTGTCTCTGATGCTTTTGCTTGTCCTGATGGAAGGGAGAGCTGAGGAGGGAAGAGCAGAGGGAGATGACAGCGGCCAGGTGCAGACCTGTCTCCCAGAGTCTCCACCACGCCTTCCTAAGTGTCTCGGTCTCTCTGCATCCAGCTCTGATTCTGCCTCTTTCCCAGGACGCACCATCTCTCCCCTCCCACTCTCTCTCTCTCTCTCTCTCTCTCTCTCTGTATATATATATATATATATATACACACACACATATGTATGTACGTATCACCATATCACACTGGCACCACGACCCCAGCGGGGGAGTCAAGTTGATCATTTAACACAAACTGGATTATTGTCCAGAGGGGACTATGATCCTGAGTGTACGGACAAACACATGCCTTTCTCTATTTCTCTTGCGTCTCTATCTCTGTCTCTCTATCTCTGGTTCTCTCTCTTTGCCATTCCCTCCTTCTCCGCCTGCCTTTTGTCTCTGTCTCTCCCCCTCTCTGTCTCTTTGCCTCCGATGCTCTGCCCTGTCTCTGTTTCTCTCCATCTGTCCCTCTGTCTCTGCCTTTATCTCTGTCTCTGTTCCTATCTCTCTCTCTCTGTCTCTGTGTCTCTCTGATTCACTCTGTCAGTGTTTCCTTCTCTGTCTTTTGTCTCCATCTCTGTCCCTCTGAGTCTCTGATGCACTTGCTCAGCCTCCTGCTGTCTCTGTCTCTCTCTCTGTCCTACAGCCCTGAGACATAAAACAGGTGACAGCACTGAAGTCCGGGCTCTGCGAGGCCCAGTGTCTGTGCCTTCACCCAGGGAGGCTGCATGTCTGCAGGAAGGGCAGGCCCATGTCATTTCGGGATAGATCTGCAGGCTGAGGTCCTCAGGGAAGAGAGGCAGGAGGTGAGAAGCAGGGAGGGGCTGGTGAGAGCTCCTTCCCCAGAGAGCCAGAGGCCGTCACCCTCCCTCTGCCTCTGAGCTGCACAGATGGCACCTCAGCCCTCAGCTTCCCCCTGAGCAGCTCCCTCCACATCTCCCAGCTTCGGTTTCCTCATCTGCAAAGCAAGGATAGCAGCACCTCCCTCTCAGGGCGGGTGAGGGTGCCCTGGAGTGACATGAAGGAAACCCCCAGTGAGACCCACAAGCAAGGCAGACGGGACACACAGGGTCCTGTCCCTCTCTCTCTGGGCTGAACTCTACAGGCACGTAAATATTTGCTGAACGAGGACAAATTCCATAAGTGGCAGAACTATCTTAAAAACGTTCTATTTGCACAAGAACTGGCCACATTGGCACCACGACCCCAGCGGAGGAGTCAAGTTTATCATTTAACACAAACACACACACACAGCTAACCAGGAGCGGCAGGGTCAACCAAGGACCAGGCTTCTAGTCCCAAGGGCTTCTTTCTCGCATTACAGCCAGTACAGAAAGTGAAGAGCCATGAGCTATCAAAGCCCTGCCCGCTGCTGGGTGTTTCCACGTGGTATTTCTTTTTTTTTTTGAGACGGAGTCTTGCTCTGTTGCCCAAGCTGGAGTGCAGTGGCATAATCTCCGCTCTCCACAACCTCCACCTTCTGGGTTCAAGCAATTCTCCTGCCTCAGCCTCCCGAGTAGCTGGGTTTACAGGCGCACGCCACCATGCCCAGCTAATTTTTTGTATTTTTAGTAGAGATGGGGTTTCACCATGTTGGCCAGGCTGGTCTCAAACTCCTGACCTCGTGATCTGCCCACCATGGCCTCCCAAAGTGCTGGGATTACAGGGGTGAGCCACTGTGCCCGCCCTCCTCATATTTCATTTACCCTAGAGGTGACTATGATCCTGAGTGTCACTTAACGTGGAGGAATCTGAGGCGGCTACCCACCCATTCATTCAACACACATCCGCCAAGCACCCACCCGGCTCCATGCTCCAGGCACAAAGTAGCCGGAAGCGAGAGTCCCTGAGGCATGGCGCCTTTGTCCTACTGTCGGCAGAGAACAGAAACACAGCACGGTTCCAGGTGTGACACCTGCAATAAAGACAGTGGGGAAGACTGGTGTGATCGAGGCCAGTGTGGGGGTGGGGAGGGGTGGAGTGGTCCAGGCAAAGGCCTGGGGGCTGGATGAAGCTGAAGGTTCTTGGAGGATCAGGGAGGAGGGCAGAGTCTTGGAGGCCAAGATCAAGTGGAGTCCAAGCCCCCTGCAGGTAAAGGCAGGCATCAAGTTTAACCTTCCTCTGAGGGTCAGCCCTGCTTGTTTTCTGGGTGCCTGGTTTTCACACATGGATGAGGGTAGAAGGAGAGGGAAGAGAAAAAGACAGAAGCCAGGGGCTGAGATAGCGCAGGGCAGGTGGGGGCCCAGGTGCGACTGAGCCCCTCCCAGCCCATCACCCTGCAGGATCAGGCACCTGAAAGAGGATCCCACCCCAGAGGGTCTCAGGTCCCTGCGGAAGCCACAGGGCCTGGGTTCCCTGAAAGCTGCCTCGTCTATGCACAGGTCAGATCCCAGCTGCTTGCCTCGCCGCCCCCGGGCCTCAGGGCTTCCCCACGCCACATCCTCCCTTCCTTCTCCCTAGAGAAAGGGGCTTATCCGTTTTACCCACTCAAGAACTGCTGCTGAGAAAGCTGGGTGCCAGAGTCACTGACATCATATGCTGAGGGCCCTCGACTGCTTCTGCTGGGGGACAAAGGACAGACGAGTTAACAAAGATGGGGCAAGGCCGGGCGCAGTGGCTCATGCCTGTAATCCAAGCACTTTGGAGGCCAAGGCGGGTGGATCACCTGAGGTCAGGAGTTCAAGACCAGCCTGACCAACATGGTGAAACCCCGTCTTAAAAAAAATAATAAAAATAATAAAAACAAAGATGGGGCAAAGTGAGGCACTAACAGAGCAGGCCCAACCCCTGGATCCTGCACAGAGATAAATGAGGACACAAAGCCCCCTCTCGAGTCATCCAGTCGACCTGGAGTTGCTGCCAGGCTTGAGGCCTGTCTGGGACTTGTCATGAGTAGGAGAATTCTGGAGATGGCAGATCGCTAATTGTCAGAAACAATCTGCCGGCTGGGGTAGGGCTCGGGGCCTCCCCCCGCCCTGGGCTCCAGGAACACGCAGCTTGTGTTGGCAGAGCTGCCTGGCAAGGGGGCCGATCTCTTTGCCTCGCTGAGGATAATCTCCCCACAATGAGACCCGCAAAGTTTGACTTAAATGTTCCCGTTGCCTGGGCAACCTTCTCCGCCGGTTCTCCCCTGTCATTCTTCATCGAAAACCCTGGTAGGAACTTTTTGCTTCAATTGGAAACTTACAGTTGCCAAGGCAACCCTCTCAAAGCATCCTGAGGTTGCAAGTGGGCTGTAGGTGATGCGGGGGTCCCATCTATTGTTGGGCCAGGGTGGCTGCAGAGAGGGGAGGTGGGATGGGGCAATGGTAGGTGAGGTAAACACCATTCTGAGTAGAGCGTGCAGGGGGAAGAGGGAGTTTCCAGGAAAGGGAGGACCGCAGGCCTCCACGAGTGCATTCATTCATTCACTTGCTTGTCCATCATTCATTCCCTCGCTCATCTACAATCACTTGAGCACTTGTTATGTGTCTGGCTCTCTATTTCCTGAGGGCTTGCGGGGATGGAGGAGTGGGTAGATCCCTCCTCAACACACCCAGCCCTCTGACATGGAAAAGCGTGAACAGAGCTCTGCTTTGGGAGTCAGATGGACCTGGGTTTTTCTCGGGATTCCTAACTCTGTCCTCATTGATAAATGGGGCGTTAGACCCAGGTCTGAAAATGTGGGGAGCCCCAGACGAGGTCTCGGGCGCAGAGGACCAGTGTCAGCGTGTTGCCTTGGGGACCGGGTTGTTTGCTAGATCTTCTCATTCCATGCTCCCCCTATCTTCAGAAGTGGCTGGTCAGTGACTGCGGCTCCGGTTGGATTCTCCACTTGGGGTGAAAGGACCGACCCCAAGGATGGCCATTCCGTGGCAAGAGGGTGGCAACGTGGAAACCGGGCAGAGACGGGCAGGCGAGTCTGGGCAAGTCCTCACTCACTTAGAGATAGTGCTTCCTCCCCTGGAATCTGTCCCAGGAGGGGAGAGGGAAAGGGACAGGGGAGGGAATGAGAGAGGTGTGTGACCTTCCAGAGGGCTCTCCCTGATGGGACTTCCTTTTTTGTGTGTGATGGAGTTTCACTCTTGTTGCCTAGGCTGGAGTGCAATGGCATGATCACAGCTAACTGCAACCGCCACCTTTCAGGCTCAAGCGATTCTCCTGCCTCGGCCTCCTCAGTAGCTGGGATTACAGGTGCCCACTACCACACCCAGCTAATTTTGTATTTTTAGTAGAGACGGGGTTTCACCACATTGGTCAGGCTGGTCTCAAACTCCACCTGCCTCGGCCTCCTAAAGTGCTGGGATTCCAGGCATGAGCCACCTCACCGGGTCCCCGGAGGGGACTTCCTAGGTACGGTCTCATGTAATCCCAGCAGCCCAAGAGGCACTTTTCATTCCCCTGTTTTGCAGATTGGGGAACTCTAGTTCAGAGAGGTGGAGTAAGGTCACCCAGAGAGGAAGCAGCCTCTCCGGAACTCAACCGTGAGCCACGTTCTTTTCAAAATCCCTCATCTAATTCTCATGACAGTCCCAGGAGGCGGATTCCATTATCCCCATTCTGCTGATGAGAAGAACAAATCTGAGAGGTCAGACAGCTCACCTAGGCTCCCATGGCTCCTACAGCCCCTTTCCCATCTCAGCCCACGGCCCAACCACGAGAACCTCGGGATCTGTCCCCAAGTCACCACTGGGAGGAGAGAAGGAAGGGAACCAACATCTACCCGTTCTTTCCGTTCTAGTCCCCACTTCCCACAGCCTGGCTTCGCTGGGCTCTGGGCCTGACCACTGGTCAGGGTGCAGGATGGGGAGAGGGGCTTGGACCCAGACCACACACAGGGGAAATGGGGCAGGGAGGCCAGGCGTGTCCCTGGGACTGCTCCTTCACTGGCATCGTCAATATCAATCTGGTATCATCAATATCAGTCTGGGCAGCACAGGACAGACAGGGAGCCTCTTAAAAGCATGTGGAAGAAGAGGGGGAGGGAGGAGGTGAGCTTGGGAGGTAGAGGCATGACCGCCTTGCCTGTCCACCTTCCAGAGGGGAAAAACCACAGTTCGGAAATGTTAGGGGATGCGTCCAAAGCTCACAATGGCCAAGGGGTTGGAACAGGTCTGCGGACTCAACATCCATAGCTCCTCTGCACGGCAGGATGGCTGCTTCTGTGTCTGAGTATCTCTCCTCTTCACACTCAGGTGGGCCCCCCCTGCCTGCTGGCCTTTCAGTTGCATGGCCTGCTGCTGGGCCCCTCTTCAAATCTACCCAGCCTCTTCCTTCCAGAAACTTCGACCCTAGTCTCTGCCACCTAGAACATTCTTCCCTCAATAGCCACTCACAGTCCATACAGGACTTTACTTAAATGCCCCCACCTCAGAGATGTCTTTCCTATAGGAAATAGGCATTTCCTTGCTTAAAATCACAGTCTCCACTGGGCACGGTGGCTCACGCCTGTAATCCCAGCACTTTGGGAAGCCAAGGTGGGAGGATCATGAGGTCAGGAGTTCAAGACCAGCCTGGCCAACATGGTGACACCCTGTCTCTACTAAAACTAGAGCATGGGTATGGTGACATGTGCCCGTAGTCTCAGCTACTCGGGAGGCTGAGGCAGGAGAATCCCTTGCACCCTGGAGGCAGAGGCTGCAGTAAGCCAAGACCGCACCACTGCACTCCAGCCTGTGCAACAGAGTACGACTCTGTCTCAAAAACAAAAACAAAAAGAGTTCATGAGCTCATGTAGAAGCCACCCACACCCTTCACCCAGGAGTGAGAGAGAACTCCTTAGAGACAGAATCTCAGTCAGCGCTGAGCCGTGTGTCGCTCAAAGCCAGGAGGAACAAGGGGCACTGGTACAGGGAGCAAAACACCCACGTGGGCTGGAAACCCCCAAACCCGCCAGGGAAGGAGCTCGGAGAGTAACACTCCCATCTGTTCCACTCTTTGCAGTTTACAAAGCACTTTCCCACACAACTCCATGTCGATCCTGACAGCAACGCTGAGAGAGGGATGCAGGTTCCCCACCCAGAGCCGCGAAGCCCCAGGCTGATGCTGCACAGTCGCTGCCGGGAGGGACCAGCAGGACCGGCCTTGGGGCTGAACCTCCTGCCTGGTCTTCTTGCCATCCCTGAGCTTGCTCTGTCCTTCTAGTGAAGCTCAGACCCCTGCCCAGAGTCAGGGGGCAGGGCAGGCTGATGCCTCAGGGTTCAGGTGATGCTGAGGCCCCCAGAGAGCTTGGCTCATGCAGAAGCCTCGTGACCCACCTGCGGAGTTGGGGTAGGACGCTGCTGCCCAGAGGACTTGTCTCTGAGGAGGGAACCAGAGTCTCTGGAACAAACCCCCGTTTCAGAAAACACTCTCAGAAAGGATTGGGTGATGAAGGTGCTCAGGGAACCGAGGCGAGAGAAACATGAAGGAAGTGAGGGTGCGGTAAGGCCAGGATTAGAGAAGAAGCAAATCTGGAAAATTCTGCTGGCAGAGTCCAGGGAGACTTCCGTTCCTCACTCCTTCCTCTCGCTGTGGATGGGCAGCCACTCCCTCCTGCAGGCGTCCTGGGCATTCCTCTCCTTGTGCCATAGTGCACATTGGGGCCATTCTGCTCAGTGGTTT